TGGGTGCTGGACTTTGAGGCCATTTACCTCCTCTTCTTCTTGCAAGCGCAAGAACCTTAATTCTGGATAATTACTGAGCTGCTGTAAAGCCAGATCAAATGGAACTGGTTTAGAGAGGAGCAGTTGTGACATCTTTTTACGTTTATCTCTCATGGCCGTGTGTGTGTATGTGTAAGGAATACCTGGTTGCTGTTTGTCCAGGAAATTGTCTTTTTCTGGAAATAACGATATCAGTGTCCAAATAATAAGTTTCTACAGAGGAAAAAAAATTAAGTCTTGTATTCCTGTTCTCTAGATGGTAGCACATATATACTAACTGGTGTTGTCCTATAACTGTATTTAACAGCAGGCAAGGCTGCAGCACAGATCATCTCTGCAACAGGTGTAGCCATGTCGGTGCCAGCTCCGGGGATACAGACTGAAGAAGGTGAAAAAAGATCATATGAACACGATGAAGAGAAACAAAATCCTGTAGCTTCAAGTGCATAAATTCTTACTTCTGTGTTGGTATTTGTCAGTTTTTAAAGGTGGGATTCTTTGTGCCTTTTGCAGAAGAAAACTTCCATCATCTGCTAATAGATTTTTAACATACTAAGACGAGATTGATACCTGGGACAGGTATAGGCGTGAACACAAGAGGAGAGCCTGCCTTTATGCTGACCTGGAACTTGTACGGTCCAGTTTGCCTCTGCTCTTTGTGGCTTTCTGATTGCTGTTCAGAAAAGCGTGTCTGCCCAGGGCCAAGGGAAGAAACTGCATTTATTGTTTAACTCGACAAGAAACACTAGCTTCTAGATGATAGTCTCTTTCAGATGAGATTATACGAATTTCTTTATGTATGAACACATTTCATAAAAAAGGTATGCCAGCAATAAGTAAATGCATTCTTCAGAGTTGCCTCAGCATTATTAAAAGGTAACCTGATGGGTTTTGTTGCAGCATGAGTCTGAGAGGTCTGGGCTCTCGCCTCGGTTCAGATGCAGCCTTGCTGTTGGTCTTGATAGAATTACTTAGGTCAGTGCTCACTCTTAAAGGCATTTTAAGTAGCCTTAGGCTAGGGAATAGAGTATAATTGTGAGTCACCACAGCTCCCTCCCTAATCTTTCTCTACTTTGGCTGGACTCTCCAAGCATGCCAAAGGAGAACTGGAAAAAAAAAAAGAACAGATACTCACTAAAAACTTAAACTTAGCTCCATAAGTGTTTTCCAGTTCTTGCTTTGCCTTTCACTTCAGAGTCTTGTATATTTTTGTAACTAAACAACATAAAATCTACAGACGCATGTGAGGTATCCATGCTACTGTTTTTAATTTTAAGAAGATTTGAGGCTGGCCTTTGTAGTTATGGGTACAAAAAAGCTTGAGGTAGTTTCAGCATGGCTTCGTGCAGAGGTCAGATTTATAAAGTGATACTGACTATAAAAATCAGCTTTGAAAAGAAAGTTGCTTCCCTACGAGTAATCCATATGTTAATTTGCACTCTCTGCTAAAACAGTTTAACTCTTTTTACTTCTGAATAGGTAAAGAACACGAAGATGCCCATGCTATAAAAGAACGGTCACCAGAAGAAGTTGCAGCCCGGCTTGCCCAGCAAGACAAAGAGGAGCAAGAGAAGATAGCGGGTAAGTCTGTACTGGTGGTTTTCCCATATGTGTTATACGTGAGAGAAGGATTGTTGGACTGTATTGGCTTTAGAGGTCTGAATTGCTTACGCACCTCTTTATTGTTGTCCCGGTGTTATGTTGGCAGAATGAGTGGTGTCGAAGCTCCTTCCACCCACAAAGAAGTAGCTGATAGTCAAAGAATGATGGAAAATTTTGGGTTGGAACAGACCTCCAAGGTCTCTGGTCCGGCCCGCTGCTTGGAGAGTTGGGGCAGGTTGCTCAGGGACTTCTCCCCTGGAGGTCTGAAGCTCTCCAAGGATGGAGATTGTTCCACCTCTCTGAGCAGCTTTGCCAGTGCTTCTTATGATGGAGAACTTGGTACATCCAATTAATTTCTCTTGTTGGCACTGGGATCTGTTGCCTCTTGCCCTTTCTCTGGGCACCTCTGAGAAGTCAGTCTCTTCTGTAACACTCCTTTAGATGTGGATACCCCTTTGGCTTCTCTTCTTTTGGCTTGAACAAGCCCAGATCCCTCAGCCTCTCATCTGTGTCATGTGCCCCCATCCCCTAACCATCTCGCTGCCTCTCCAGCGTTCGCTCCCCGGTTTGTTTGTACCTTTCTTATACTGAGGCTCTCAAAATGAGACACCGTGTTCCAGATGTAGTCTCGTAAGTGCCAGTTAGAGGGAAATCATTCCTTCGCTTGATCTGTGGGCTGTGCTCTTGTTTGATGCAGCCCTGTTCCCGGTCAGGACTCATTGCTGCCAGAGCAGGCTGTTGACCCGTGTTCAGGTTGCCATCTTCTGGGATCCCCAGGTCCTTGTCTACAGAGCTGCTGCCTGGGCTTGTCCGATAGTGGTTCAGGGACGGTATGTCAAGGCTCTGTGAAGGGTTGCCTGTAGGTTCTGGGTCGGGAACTATGACAGTTCCTTTCTTGGGTTCTAATTCGGACCTGTTAATCCAGCCGTATTACTGAGAAGTGGTCTGACTTTTCCTGTGTCCCAAAACTCACGTCCTCCCGGTGTGTCTTGCTCAAAACAATGAGCTTTGCTTCCCCCTCACCCCCCACTTGGTTTATTAGATTTTAAATACTTCTGGGCGGCTGTTTGGTCTTGGTTTGGCTGCAGCATGATTGTTTAAATCGGGAGTTTTGGGTCCTTTCCTGGTTTGCCTCGGAGAAGCCAGAAAAATAGAGAAATGGGTTTTTTTGGTAGATGGTGTTCTTCTGTCTAGCATGTCTGGGCAATCTGTTGCCAGCTGCCTTGATACTTACCTTCTGAAAGCAAACCCAGCTCAAGCTGCAGACTGATTGCAGTGTTAGAAAGCTTCTGTATCATCCTCCAGCCGGTGTTGATGAGGACAAGAGGGAGACCAGCCTCTTGAGGAAACGGATGGGTGTTGAAGGACGACTTCTGACTTGGGGCAGTGCAAGGACGGCCGACTGCAATGGCTCTGCAGACCTTCAGTGGTGAGGGAAGGAGTCTTTGGGGGTGGTTGGACTACAGGCATTGACTACAGGGATGCTGAACAGAAACTGTATTTACAGTAAGTAGAAGTTTACTGTTAACATAGGTGTAGCCAGTGAAAATAGGCTTGAAAGGGAGTTTAACAGTACTGGGGCCACATATTGGACATGCTTCAGCCTGCTGTGGGAGCTGTGGCCTTTTTATTTCATTATTTTCTTTGTGCTTGGCAAGGGCTGATGGCAGAAGAGGCGCTGGCGCCCTGTGCTGCGGCCGATCTGACCTGTCCGACCGCCGTGCACGGGAAACGGGATCTTGGCGGCTGTGTCGACCACACTCAGACCTTCCTCCGAGTGCTTTGGTCCTCAGCCAAAGTCCGAGCCTTGGGCTGTTGTTGTGTGCGAGGGATGAGAAGGACGTACAAGCCTGGACCCAACAGGCTCGGAGTAGACGTGCTGGTTGTGGTCTGCTGCCGCTTTCTTCTGCTCAGAACTTTGGTGTAGAAGAGCAACGTGAACAGAAACAAGAGGCTTGGCATTAGTTGTCTGCTTCGTACAAGGACTTTTTTGCAAGTGAAGAAGTTGAAATGTTACGCTGAAAAAAATCCAGAGGGGTGTTCACTGGAGAAGTGGATGCACTTACCCTACTCATTAGAAATAAATGCCTGACTCCAGAAAGGCAGATGTTGCTCACTCTGATTAATCATTCTGGTTTGGTTCCTGCTTGAATAATTAATAGCTCATTTGTGCTTCTGTACCAATAGGAATAGATAGTTGAGTCCACCACCTTCTTGGCTAGGAATAACAACTCTGCATTTGGAATACATCTTCCTTGTGGAAGATGGGGAAATTTACTTGTTTCTTCTTAATAACCATTGTAACAAATGAGGATGGAAAATAGTCGTTGGTTTAAATGCACCGCCTGCAGAAACACGGCAAAGGTCTCCCAGCGAGTAGCTGTATTGCTGTAGGTGCAGACTTGCAGCGTAGCACTCCCCTAAATAAGGGGAGTGTTCTGGCAACCTTTCTTCTTCTGTAGCCTGCAGTTCCCAAACTGACCAGCTCTTTTGGGTCATAGAAAATAACGTAAGGAGACGGAGAGGATGTAATGTGCCAGTTTACTGATTCTGCGGCTCTTTTCCTTGTACCTTAATTCAGTTAATTTTTTTCCAGCCCTTGCAGCAAGTCTAGAAGCAGCCCTAAGCACGACAGCTCGTATAACCCTTCAGGCGATTACTGCCCAGGAGTCTGCTGTGCAAGCAGTGAACGCCCATTTGCAAATATTGAAGGAGGCCATGGACAATTCTGAGGTGAACTGGACAAATGGGGACGCTTTTTGCATTTTGTGCAGCAAAACTTTTCATCTCACAATTGAAGATGCAGTAGGAAGCTTTTCTTGCAGCATCTTCATGTTTATCACAGTTTTAACTCATCTTTCCACTCATGAAATGTGGTGTGAATGAATAAGAAAGTGTTTTTGCTTTTGACTTCCCCCCCCCTCCCCGCCCCCACCTTCTTTATTCCCCTTCAGCAAGTAGAAAAGTTCAAGTTGATACAGCAATAACCTTCACATTGTATTTTAATTCATTCTATTTGAATTCCCAAGCCCCTTCTTTACATAAATACAGTTAGGGTATGATGGTGTCCACCCTGGTAATTTGGTTGAACCATTTCCTTTGCCAAAATCTTGCTGGATTGTTCATTTCTTGTTTGGAAATGAGTAGGGGATGTACGAGCGATACCAGCTTGTGGTTCTGCTGCGCTGATGCTGGGGTTTGTGTGCACTGCCGCTTCCTCTTCGGTTTTGGAGCAGAGGTTAATCAATGAACAGGGGCACGCAGGCAACTAAACAAGCACTCGAGATTAATCTAGTAGTTAGCAAAACAAGTATCTAAAGAGTTTGTTTTTAAGCTTAAGTATTAAGCTTACTTTAAGCAACTTTAAAGTATTACGGTACTTCATGTATTACGCTTAAAAGCAATTTTAAAGTATTACGGTACTTTACGTATTACGCTTAAAAGCGATTTTAAAGTATTACAGTGCTTTAATACATGTAGAGATTTCCCCCCAAAACGTCGTGGCATCCTCACACAAGCTCTTCTGCATGGACAAATGGCTGTTGCTCAGGTGGAACAAAACATTAAGAATCAAACAAAACAAAACACTGGAAGGGAAAAATCGTTCGTAAAGCTTCCAGCTGTGCTGTTGGTAAAACACGAAAACGTTGCTGAGTTTGAGTGGAATGAGTGTAGCAACTTCTGAGTCTTTACAGGCTTTAATTTATTTTTGGTAACTGTTTTATTTCATGATTGTGATGACCCTAATTAGGCATCTATGCTTCTTAGGCTGCTGGGGAGAAAAAACAATCTCAGTGGCGCACTCTGGAGGAAGCGCTGAAGGATCGGAGGAGAGCAGTGGATGAAGCCGCCGATGCCCTTCTGAAAGCCAAGTAAGTTTTTAAGGCTGATCGAGTGGGAAGTTGCTATCGCCCACGCGAGGGCTGGCAGACACTAGATGAGTTTCTAGAAAGCATGCAGTCACCTGTGTTCATGTTAAACTGACGCGTTTGTGCCACATCAGAAAAGTTGTGTATGCTATACGAATATTTAAATTTGCAGTGGGTACATCTTAGGTGCTTGTGCACATGATCCTCACTGTACCGAAGAGTCTGAAACAGTCTTGTTCTTCCTTTTAAGAACTTGTTTATCTCCTTAGTACTTATATATAGTGTTGGTAAGTTGAAGTAAGATTAAAAAAAAAAAAAAATCCTTTTTGTATTATTTTTGGATAGTTTTGTCAATATTAAACCTATCGTAAGGACTTCATGACTGCACTCTGTGTATTGGGTCAGTAACATCACTAGCTTCTTTTAGTTGTAATGCAAAATTAAACCTTAGGGCACCGTTCGGCAGTTCCATCTGTCAGCAGGGTTGCTTTTAAGCTTAGATTTTTACTAAGTGCGTGTCTAAGAAAAACCTGAATTCTGAAACGGAGCACTGCCCGTAACGCGAGGTTCTGCATGAACCGCGTTGATGTGCATTGAGTCTGGCATGCAGACTCGTTGCGCAGGGATTACAGCAGCAAAAATGAGATTACAAATATCTCCAAGTTGCCCTTGTAATGAGTATAGACATAAATTTGGTGAGGCTGAGAGGGCAACGTCTCCTTGAAGTTGCACTGTTGCTATTTAAGTTACAAACTTCTCTTATCTTTGAAGTTGCTCTGCTGACTAAAAATAGTCAGGAGGTGTAACTGAGGCTTCAAAGAGTAAAACAAAGCTAACCCAAACCCCAGATGCACTAGCTTTTATTCTCTATTGCTCTACTGGATGCCTTTGCTTTTATTTATTTACTTGTTTATTTACTGTAAAGCTTGTTCCTTATTCCAATGAAGTCATTAGAAACCTCCATTGGTTTGAATGGATTTGGAAAAGGAACGCTTTTTCACTTTTTCCTTGATTTCCAATTATTATTCCAGTGAGAGGAAAGCGGTTCTTTCTTAATTACAAAAAAAAAAAAAAAATCTATCTTTACAGAGCTCTGTAAATTTTCTCCCATCCTCATTTACCTCCACCAGTCACCATGTCCAAAACACTTCTGCAAGAGTAAGCCATCTATATTAAAAATGTTTCCTTGATACTCTGTTATGTGATGGAAATGTCTGCCTTCTCATACTAATTTAGTTTTACTAATACTAACTCCTTTTGGTGAGTTTTCTTTCATGTGCCCCCTCCGGCTAAGTCCTGAGTACTAATTGCACTATAAGTAATTCTCATTTTACGTGGAGTAGACACACTGACGTCTTTAGGTTTCAGACGGTGGAAAAAAAATACTCACAGCATCTTAGCGATAGAGCTGGTAGATGGGAAGCACCAGTAGAGTTATCCAGTAGCTCTTCCTGTAAATACAGCCAGCATAAAGTATGCTTTTCTTTGGGGTTACGTTGTAAGACCTGTACGCGTTATAATTAGCAGCTTCCTCTCTTTTCAGAGAAGAGTTAGAGAAGATGAAAGGCGTAATTGAGAACGCCAAGAAGTCTCAGATCGCAGGAGCCAAATCTCACATTATCGCCGCAGAAGAAAACCTTCATCACATGATAGTTGACTTGGACAACGTCGTGAAAAAGGTGATGCTTCCACAGAGTGTCTCTAGTTGCCATTAGAGTAAGGACTACGTGGGGACTTGTGCAGGCCTCCCGTTCCCAAGTCCTCTGTAGTAGGTTAAATGTTTTTAAAGTGTAAATTCTGGTCTTTTTTTTTTTTAGCTACACTCAGTCTTTGAGCTGATTATATACCAATGAACAGTCACGACAAGATCTTTGCAAGGAGAACTTGAACTCTGTCCTGAAAGAGTCTCCAGCCAGCTTGATTTGTGTCTGTCCTTTCTGTAGGCGACTCGTAATTCTTTCCCTTTGATGCTGAGAGGAATTTACCATGAGGTTAGGGAGGAGTAGGAGCAAATTGTGCTAATAACTTGGTGGGTAAATCATTTTACAGCTCAGAAGACTGGGGAAGAAATGTAAAGGTGAAATTTCTCTCCTTTGGAGCACAGGTGATAGTTCATCAGGTGCATTCTGAGTGGAGAATTTAGCCTAATAGTGGGAATATCAGAACTTACTGCGAGGGGGGCAGCCGTCACAGGACTGGCTCGCTAGGCCTGTTGGCTGGCTGAAAGCAGAGAAAAAGAGCTGGAGATCTTTAAAGACTGAATTAATCTGAATTAAGACACTCTTTTGGTCCTGTCCAGGCTACAGACTGGCTATCTAATTACAGCGTGCGTGGGAGGAGAAATGGATTTGTGGTAGTTCCAGCAAATAATTGTTGTACCCGAGAGGTTTGATATCACAAGGTGGGGGTTTTTCTCCCCTAAGTGTGTTTGCTTTGGTTGGACTGGAGGGTAACGGTATCTGCCGCTAACTCAGGACCTGGCTTTAAGTTGCGTATGCCTCTCTTTTCAGTATTTGCCTTGGAAAATAAACTGATCTCATTTTTGTCTGTTCCAGGTTCAGGCAGCGCAGTCTGAGGCCAAGATAGTAGCTCAATATCACGAGCTTGTGGCTACAGCTAGAGAAGAGTTTCAGCGAGAGCTTGACAGCATCACCCCCGATGTGCAGCCTGGCTGGAAGGGGCTGAGTAAGTCTCCGACTGCAGGGTTACTTTGTGCTTGTTACACACCAGTCACTTTGGTTTGTAGTGATTCTGTAACTATGGCCACTGAATTGAATGCCCAGTGTCCCGTCTTCCATATTGTTTGGTTGGTTTGAAGTGAAAATTAGTTCACAGTTAAAATAAGTAATCTAAAGCAGGTGTTATGAAGAGGCTTAATTCTGGAAACTACTTGTGCTGTACTGGAAGTTTCAAAGAATGTAGCTCTATATGATAAATCTCCTATGGTTGTTTAAACATCTCTTCCCTCCCCTGGTATTCCAGGAAGAGAGCCAGGTCACTCCAGATTTGGATCAGATCTGTGCTGCTCACTGATGAAGTATTTGTCTGGTTGACTCTTTGTGATTATAGGTATTATAATACACCATTATTACGGAGTGATAAAGAACTCCCTGAATTTCTCTAGATCATCACTGAAATTATAGATACACTGAAAGACAGAATTCTTTGTTCATACCCTGCCTCCCCCAGTACATGTTATTTCTAAATTAAATTGACAGAGTAACTTACCTTGAACAACAGCGAGTGCTGCGCAGCAGCAGTGAATAGGCACCTGATGTTTGGTTTATGCTATTACTCTGCAGTTCTTTGCCTGAGATCTGAAATCTCATGAGCGGCCTCTCCTTGTGCAGGATAAAGGCAGAACATCTTGGGTTTTGCGATCGCTGCCCTTTTGAGGGAGGAAAGGGAATCTCCATGCGCCCAGTTCCATACTGGAGTGACCGACGGCACTGACTTGTCAGGGTCCGTGGCTCTCGCTGCCGCTTGGGAATTTGTTTCTTCACCAACTGCTTCCGATTTCTAAGAACCTAGGAATGTCAGATGAAAATTTCCAGTGTCCTGTTGCACTTTTCTACTTCAAACTTGTATTCCTTGCTTTGGCTAAACTTCAGCATCAATCTGTGGGTTTCCAAAGGTGATTTTAGTGGTTGGGATGTTTTGGGCTACATCTTGCCTGTAATATAGAGACACGTTTATACTCAACGTACTGTTCTTCCTAAATTCCTCAAGACTTGGACTCATGTTTATGTCACTGTAGATAAGAAGCTCTTAGTTTTTGGTTTTACTTTTGCATGACTGACTTGCTGTAGTGAATGTGCATTAACTTTTCCAACCTCTCCTCTTTCTGTTGCAGAGATAACTGACTTAGGTGAGTTCCTCTAACTTGTTCTGGTCTTGTGAATGTCATCTCTTCTCTGTGTTCTTTTTCATGTTTGCGTGGTACGTCGCTTTAAATTACAGGCGGTTTGAATGAAGGGGTGAAATGTTGCATTCCTACAACATTTCAGGCTGAGGTATGCTTTGGGATCCTTTCCACTAGTTTTGCACATCTAGCTTAAACCACAAACTCTGTCTAGCAGTGCTTCCCAGCTGAGCGTGATTACTGGCTTGTGAAAGCCAGGTTTAAATTTTCTTGGTGAATTTAAGGCGGTCGATACCTGCTGCTGAGATTCCAATGAGACGCGGAAGCTTTGACCAGTTCCAGTTAAGCTGTGTGGTGGTGTTTGTCCTCAGGCAGCCCCAGCTCGCAGCGGTCCTGGCTTGAGAGAGGTGCTGGATACACCAGCTCCTGCTGGTGCCGCTGAAACGTCTCGGCGCTCTGTGTGCTTGAAAAGCCACGCAGGGCTGCTCCGAGCTGGGCCACCAGAACCAGATTCGTTTAATTTGAAGTTGGCTTGACTCTTTGAATTTAATCTCCGTGATTGATTTTTAGAAGTGATGATTAACTCTTGGATTCTAAGGTTGATTATTATTTATTTGTCCCCCTTTGAGCAAAGAAACCTATTAAAACTGGAGTGCAGTAAAACCCCGTTCTGTTTCTAACAGTGTTAAGTTCAACAGCTGAGCGCAGTGGTGCTGGTCGGCCGCACAGAGCCCTCCTGCGCCAGTCCTTCCTCCAGCGCTCACCAGGATGGCTGACAGGCTGCCGAGTTTCACTTGCTTTGGACCCTGCAGGAACGCTTTCCCGAGTAGTCCCTGGTTTGCCCTAGAGGCGATTTAGCTGGCAGCCAGTGCAAAATGAGCTGCAGCATTTTACAGAGCCTGTGCCGTTCTCGGCTCACCAAGTCTCAGGTCACCAAGTGCTGCAGGCGTAGCTTGTGTCCTCCTCCTTTCCCAGCAGAAAAACAGCGAACTCCCTAGCAGACACAGATGTGGTTGTGACCCCTGCTGCTCTTGGAGTAGCCAAACCTGAAAGATACAAATTGGGCTAAGAAATCTGATTGGGAACAGTTGGCCTGGAGGACTGTTGAGGAGCAAACGTAATTCTGGCTGTCTCCCACAACTTCACTGTTCTCGGGATCAGATTTCTGTGAGCTTGTACCCAGCTGGAGGTATCGGTCAGCAGCGGGGTTTTACATATCCTGCTGCCCTGTGTGCTGCCACAGGGGAAAATACGTGGGGTGTAAAGAAAGAAACGGACGGAGTTGCTGCTAACTGAGTGTGACGTGGCTGTGGGAGTGGAAATAATAGCCGGGAATCACTTCAAAGAAACTTCAGATATTTTCTGTCCTAGACAGAAAGCACTTGCCTGTAGGTGTGGCTCAGAAGTGGCACTGGGTGGGCATTAGCACAGCTCAAGGGCCTGAAGTGCTGGGAAACTTCTCGTGAAAGATGCTCGCTGGTCAGCCCCGTGGAGCCTCGGAGTGCTGCAGTGGGCGGTGGGCACGCACCGCGGCGGCGGTTTCCCCGCAGACCTTTGTAACGCCCTGTGTTTTCTTTAGCTGGCCAGTTATCGACAGATGACCTAAATTCTCTCATTGCCCACGCCCATCGTCGCATCGACCAGTTAAACAAGGAGCTGGCGGAGCAGCGAGTGAGGGAACAGCAGCACATCGAGTCGGCCCTGGAGAAGCAGAAACTTGAAGATAAAAAAGCATTTGAGGCAGCTGTGGCCAAAGCGCTGGAGCATCACAAAAGTGAGATTGAAATCGAACAGGAGAAGAAGGTAAAGTGGTGCAAGGCACCGGTTTGGATCTCTGGCTCAAAAAGGATGTAGAAGAGGTAGAGGAAGCACACAGAAGAGCAACTGGGATGTTTTGAGCGATAGGAGACTTCGGATAGGGCGGCCCCCAGGATAAGCGTGGGAAGGAGATGTTGAGCAAGGCAACTTCTGCCAAGTTAGAACGGTAAAATCGTACAGCGAAACAGGGGATGACTTCTTCACGTTCCTGTCTGCTGTTGGAGATAGGATTACCGGGTCAAAATAAATGTTTGATCTGACCCAGTATGGCCATCGTGGGGCTACGCAGCCCCTCCGTCCTGCCTCCAGGAGGCCTCTCTGTGTCCTTCCACTCTTTGCCAGTGGTTTGGGATTTGATTTCTTTCAAAAAGACTACAAAAATGCCTCAGAACTTTAATGCTGCTGCAGACATGAAACAAGCGCAACTTACAAACGCAGGAATTGGGGCACTGGAGGCTTTATCGTCTGAGATGCCATGTTGCAGGCAGATGCTTCTGCCAAATGCCCCTGCTGTTTTCACATGCGTGCCTCTGAAAATGAGATGAAACATGGTCCATTAGTTGGAAAATGTGCAGTGACTTGAGGGATACTAAGGGATTTTACCTGTAGCCTGGTAGTTCAAAGCACTGCAGTCACAGGTATTAATTTAAAGCTCTTTGAAGTTGCTTGAACTGTCATCCTTGCATTTAGTGGAAGGTTGGAAACGACACAATCCTTCGTGTAAAAAAAAAAAAACAAACCCCACCAAAACCCAAAAAAACTTCAACTGCTTGTAAATAAACCTACCCTCTCTAAAGTGGCTGTTTGATACAAGATTAGGTCAAAGGGGTATTACCATTTTATTTTAATAAATGTGTCC